AGATTATATTCTATAATACTATATTTTAATCAAATATTAAAACATAGTATTATGTTTTAATAATACTATAATAATACTAATAATACTATTAAAACATAATACTGTTTTAAAAATACAGATAAGGTTAAGGTTGAAATGACAATCAAGCATTTAGAGTATTATTAACTGTACTTTGCACTTGTAGTCTTTCAAAAGCATACTGTAATTATATCTTGCCACTGACAAAGAACAAATTCAACAAGTCTGCTGCTGATTTTACAATAAAATAATAGAAAAAATATTTTTAAATGGATAAAAGCATGTCAGTGAAGATGATGAACCAGAATCCTTAAAGTCAAACAGCTGCACAAGTTATCACAAAGACAAAATTTGGATTTGGACTCCATAAACTTTGCATTTTGCCAATCTCTTGTCATGGCGTTGAATAAAGTCTCTGTAAGCAAAGCTTATACTGAATGGCAGTGGAGCTGCCTACTGAAACACACCTGCCATGCTGAAGCTCTGTTTGTCACATAGGGTATGCATCATTAACATTGGACGGTGCTTGCCCCGCCCATTCTCAGGTGAGGGGGGAGCGGAGTGTGTATGGAAGAATTATTACGACTTTAATCAAGAGCGTATATTTTCAGTTTGAGAGCAGGAGTAAATGTCTTTGCTCTTAAAACTTTATGTTTGTTCTCAAAGGAGAGCCATGGAGGAGAATCGTGAAAAGACTTGCACTGTTCACGAGTCTCAAACCACAAGTCCAAGTCAAGTCTCAAGTTTTTAGGGTCCAAGTGCAAGTCAAGTCGACGTCTCTAATAGTAGGAACTTAAGTGTGACTCAAGTCCAAGTTCGAGTCATGAGTCTCCATCTCTGCCACATTCAGACCAAATGTATTTTGAGCATCATGTCAAGTGCATCAGGTTCACATGTAAAGTCTATGGCGGCTGYGCATCTAGGGGCATCGAGTAACCTTGTGGCACATTTAGCGCAGCGAGTTTTGAAGTGGTGAGAGTTTTGAGTATTTGACGTGTGTGCGACGGGTTCAAAGCAGCCGACACTGGAGTTGAAAAATCTGAACTTTTGCTGCTCGATGTGATGCATCAACCAATCAGAAGAGAGTCTGCTCTGTGACGTAGTGGCACATTTTCTGACGGGACAGTTTCCTGAATGTCCACTAATCTGAGACAGTCATTATTCTGATCAAAAGCTGTTTTTATGAAAGTGGCAGCAATAGGCTTCCATAAAACTGACACCAATTTATGCTACATTTTATWAAAAAAGTAATTGTCCAACATTTTTATTTGAATGTTTAGCATTTGTTGAAGCATTAATTGTTTATGCGTGCTACTCTTTATTTTCTTTATTCATTATACCATTTTCAGTCTTCCACATTATAAGAAACATTAATCACATCAGATTAATTGCTATCTGAATACAACAGGTATAAACATGAATATCTGTGTTTGAATTTGATTAATAGTTTCCACTTGAATCTAAAAATCAACAAACAACTTTTAGAGAACAGGTAAAAATAATTTATAATATTAAAAATAAAGATTTAAATGGCAATAAAAATATTGCAGGTCTTAGTTCTTTTTATACCTGCTAAATAAACAATTTCTTTTGACATCATGACAAATTACAGCTGCATTTCTTGTTTCTGACTTAATCTTTAACTAGGTTTTTATTGGTACCTTCAGAACCAGAGAAGCTCAGTGRTATTTTGTTTGTGACAAAGATAATGACTTTTATCTTGAAGAGATCAAGAGGGCAACTGATTATCTTAGGAAATTTGTAACAGTAGAAAAACAAGAAAATGAGGATTTGTTATCGTTGTCGTGTTGTGAATCATGTCTTTTATCTAAAAGTAAAATCATTGCTCACTTTAAAGTCTGTATTTTATGTTTTTATGCTTTCTTCAGGTGTTTTGCTGTTCTTGCTCTTCCATAACAACTATTGTTTCCACCACACTTTTTGTTCTGACAGGATTAGGCAGAGGGAAAGAAGCGACTGCTTTTCACCTTCGGTGTTCGGCACTTTTTGTCTCATTGAGCAGTTTGACAAACTTTGAAGAGGCTGTCATGACTTTTTCACCATGAAAGATTTAGTTTTGTTGATATGATGTCCTGATGGGTAAATGAGATAATCGGCTCATTCATCCATTTTGCCCGTTTTTTTCTTGCCAGGTTTCAGGAGAACTGGAGTCTATCTCCATAAGAGGCGGTGTACACCATGGACTTGTCTCAAGTGTTTTACAGGGACACATGGAGACATACGAGACATTCTTTCACACTAGGGACATGTTAGAGTCCTCAATTCATATTTTAAACCACTAAAGTTAGAATGATTGTTTGACTCTTGAGTTATTTCCTGGTCAATTTTACCTTCAGCAGAAGGTTTTCTTGTGGTTTTAAATTCACAAAAGCCAACATTGAGAGTTTTAGAAACACTTAAACACCATCTTGGTTTGACTTGGGTTTTTTCTTCTTTACACTAAAAATTGTGGAAATGAGCATAGAGTTGATCAATTTGTCAAAAATAGACACATCTAAACGTGAATCATGTAAGGCTTACATAATTTGAATTGTTTATATTAAAGAGAATTTCTTCTTCATGCTTGAAGAATGGCTCTTACCATATCATACTTACCCCTCCTGTTGTSCTCGGATCAAAATGAACCCTACTAATTTGAATATCTTGCATTAAAACATCAAGCTTTATTTGCATTCCCTGTTTTTTCCAGTCCGGAAAGCACTAATTTCAATAACTATAAAATAGTCAGTATCCCTCAGAGATGGGAGACATCTGTGTGCTACTTGTATTTATTATAGATCCATCTGACCGTGGCTGCAGGATGTTGTACTGAAGCAAGATGAACAACAGAGAGCAGCAAAATCTCATTTATATGTCAGTATTTTTCTAAAGATTTTTGAATACAAAACAGAAAAAACAGTTTGTCATCTTTGACTGTACTGGAACAAATCATACACTCTTCATCATTATTTTTATCATGTTTGAAAACTCTAAATCCTAATCTATTTTATCAATGTTTTTTTCTGTTATATGCTTTATTTTGCTTTGCAGTTAGACTGCATAACACATCATGACGTTATCAGTCACTTGGACAGTTCACCTACACTGCAAATCACTAATATGCACCTTCATAGACATTCATTTTTGTACTGCATTATACGGTGTATATATGTATAGAAATGTATATGCATATGTGTTTATGTATACATGTATATGTGCACTAGCATATGTACATTATTATATATCACATGTGTGTATCGTGGGTTTATTTATTTATTTTTTGTTTGTTTTCTTTTATTTATCTTTCTTTATTCTTCTCACCCTCTCCTGTATTGAGCTGCAGTAATGTGCAAATTTCCCTATGGTGGGATCAATAAAGTTTTATTTTATCTTTTCTTATCTTTAGATGGT